GAAAAGAAAAATAATTTTACCATATAAAAAGTATTTTTATAATTTAATTCACTCAACTAAATCACGAAAAGTTAACTACTCAACTGAGAATTATAAATTAAAACGAATTCGTTTCAAGTTAATTAATACTAAATAAATAACAGTGGATAGCAAAGCTGAAACAATGTGGTCCAATGCTTTATGCACATTGGGCGTCACGAAACCTCTTTGCAACTGCCTCAGCATAAGGCAGGTAGCAGCCGCTGCGGCAGCTGCTACACAAGGTGGCGCTATAACAAGTGGACCATTACCATCTAGCAATGCACCAGGGGTAATTAATATCTATTATTATTACATTAAGCTCTAGTTAATATACTCTAAGGTATATAATCTATAAAGGGATTAACAAAGAAATACATATGCATATAATGCATATTTTTTTTATATGAACGTATTATCCTATATTGTAACTTTTTGCTAAATCCTTATGATCGCTTGTAAGATAAAAAAATTAATAAAATCAATTCCTTATTAGAGTCCGACCATGGTTGCATGATAAACACGTCGGAAATCATTTCAGCATTACAAAGAATATACTAAACGTCATGATGTATGTGATTCTGTGTTCCTAGGTGGACGTCCCTTTCTATGGGAAGCGGACACTAAGAAAAGGTGGAATAAAAACGTTCTGTATACAGATTTAATAAAGATCTGTTATGAGGATAGGTAATGTTATTGTTCCAAAAATGCGTCTCAATTCTTGTCGAAAAATATTGTTATTAGACCTTCTGAAATTGCTCCATTTGGTCTTTTCTATCCACCACCATTTGCGTTTCTGAATTTTTTCTGTAGTTCTTGTTTGGCTCATTCACGATCACAGTTCAATATTGGATATCCCAGGTTAACAAGATTTTTCGTAAGCATTTCTAAAATGTAATAGCTACCTTTATTATATTATTATCTGAAATATATTAGTATACATATTATACTTACATGATATAGTTTTTAGTATGATGTAGAAAAATATCTCAACAGTCTTTTACAAAAAGAGACTAAACGATTGGTGTATCCATTCGAAGATATTTTCTAAATCGCTTTGAATTCAAAAGAATTCAAAAGACTATAAAAAAAACGACCACTCCCAATGACAGCATCGCATTTAAAATCTAGAAGTGCCAAATTATAGAAGGATGGTGTGTCTGTGTCACAGGAAGTATATCTAACTCGTAGAATTATTGGTTTTGAAATCTTTTTAAATTATTATAGAATATTAATATTATTTACTTCATAAAAGTAGATACAATGAAAAAACATATTTCATCCCTTTTGACTAAATTAGCGTGATATACAAAACGGGAGGATCAGGGAAAAGATCTCCCTCATCTACAGATAATATACTCCAAAAATATATTTTCTAGTAAATATTTTACCTCCTTGGCTAAGTTCTTGCTACGATACTGTCTTCAACTGCTATTGTTATTTGCAGAACTTAGTATTGATCAGTTTCTGTCAAATACAATAACAAAAATATCTGAAAATATTAAAAACTTTAACATATCGTTTAAGATCATAAATTCTTTGACATTCTTAAAAGAAGTTCTTCTGTTGGTATCTTTTCGTTCTTATATTCGGTATTATTGATTCAAACTATACACTAATTTTTCATAGAAACATTTTTATATTAAATTTGGTTTTAATGTCATTCATTCATTCATGGACACGTTTTGAATAGTAGTGAATTGGAACAACAAAATTTTTTTTTTAACCAATTGAATTTTTGACTGACCGTACAGCTGCTTCGAATATTGCCAATATCCATCATCAGTGGTCTTGGAATCATTTCTTATATTTAACTATGCGGAAATCATTTTTTGAGACTCCAAGTATAAAGGGTGGAACTCGTGCTTACCGAGCCAGCTTGTAGGCTAGCTTAATTTGATTAAAAGCAATATTTAAAAGAGAGGGTGGGTAGTTGGTGTAGAAGTAAGTTTCGTCATATTGAAATTTGATGTTTGGTTTTGATATTGAAATTTAGAAAATGGAATCAATGATTTATTTTCAATTTTAAGGTTGAGAACTTTCCTTATGTCACTGCTTTCATTATATTAGAAAGAAAAATAAAATAGAGTTTGATGAACTCACTGAAAAAGTTAAGTTTTTGATATCTATAAAAATAAAATGATATATTAAGAGTAATTAATAATATATATAAATAAGAGCAATAGAGTAACATCATTGAAAATGGTAATGTGAGCACTTTTTTCTAATAATTTAAAGTATTGATTTTAATAAATTCTTTAATATATCATTTTTATAAACTTTGTCTTATAGTACGTTCCCACTGGCTTCTTTACTAACGAAGACAGTAGAAACGTACTATAACAATGCCACTCATTCAAAATACAAGATTGTTTTTAATTGGCAACAATTATCAAAATTTTATAACAGTTGGGCCGTTAGTCATTCGGTAATATCTGTTTGAGTAATACTAATTTAGATATTTGAAAATTATGGAGGAAAAAAGATTGTGTAGACTCTTTTTTATTGGAAAAAATATATGTGACATGCAAATATTTAACTTAAATAATTTGATTATTTTCTTTTGAATATAAAATATACAACAAAATAATCGCCCTTATAGTATAGAGCCCTGAAATTATTTGCGAAAACTGACAGACTTACCCACACAGCGTTATCAAATCTCAGAATGGTTACAGGCTCCTCGGGGAGATATGCAGATCTGAGGTCAATATTGCTTAGTCTGATGAAGTGATAAACAATAATCCAATCAAGGCGTAAAGAGGGGTTTTAAAAATACCAGGAGTTAAGAAAGAGTAAAAGTGCTCAAGTGCACTGGCTCAATTAGAAATAAAATAATATAGTATTTTGTAAGCATTCAAGAAATTACTAAAACCAACTCTATGTTATGCCTGGCTTTTTTTGCTGGAAAGCATCGAAAGCCACAGGGAGAGACTTGAATCCACTAAAACCACTCATCTTAAAATGCAATATAAACACATATCAGTTATTGGCCCGTTGAGTTAAAAAGCTAAAAACCCATTACAGTTATCAATGGGAAGGCAGACATCAGAATATAGAAAGCTTAGTATTTAGACAACAAATGCATATAAAACAAATTTATAAATAAGTGAGGAATGAAAGGAGGATGTACTTGCTATGTAGTAATTACTGACTAAGAGTAAGCTCTATGTAAGAGATTGTTGTAATCACGATTGCAATGTGGGGTTATAGGAGAAACTGGACCATATCGGCCAGATAAAGCGCCAAGAACTGTGGAGGCTTATTTCTCTTATTATTAAATAGATTGATGGTTTTGATTCGATGTATGTATTTATGATAAATTTAAATGTACACTATTAAAAAACTGTTAGATTACAAAACTTTTGGATTATTCTAAAAATATTCGATTGGGCAACAAAATTTGACAAATCGTGAGTAAATCTGGTTTGAATCCAGATTTACCAATCGAAAATGCCATTAAAACCACTATTGAGTTGATTAATTCCATTTAAAATTTGATTATAGAATAAAAAAAGTATTATGAATTTAAAATATTAATAAAATTTTATTAATAATCAAACTTTATTAATATTGTTCTTGCAAAAGAACTACAAATTTTTTTAGTGAAAACTCAAAAAATATTGTAGGTAAATGTCCAATTATGTATGCATCAAGTGAAACGGTGGTCGATGCGCTTAATCAACTCAATTTAGTCTGAACCAAAGCCTTTTAATGTGATTTGTTTATCAGTGTACGAATGCCAACGTATATTTCTACCACTTGTATGGGAATCTGCCGTTCAGCGATTTGCTGTTTTGCGATTTTACGATTCTCGGAAGGCAACAAAATGTTGTACGGCACAGCTGGTGATGATGACGATGACTATGCCTATGATGATTATAAATGACCAGAGTTGTACTTAAATATTGTGAAAAAAAGTGAAATTGGGCAATTACCGTGTGGAGGGAGTAGAAATGTCCAAAAAGCATGACCGACCGACCATTCATACATAGGCGCCAGTAGCAATATGCAGCTACGTACTGCAGTTGAAATGTTAACTTATATAGAGGAGGATTGCATAAAATCGAAATAGAATCGAATCGAAAAAGGAAAATTAGTGAAATGGGTTGAAAACTGGGTGGGACAAGGCGAATAAAAAGTGAAACAATGCGAATGGAACATTAAAATGTTGAAAGCAACAAAATCACAGGCTTCACTGCTTTGTATGTTATACGGTGTTTCGTTTAGTAGGTCACTAGGACTCTCACTAATGTCCTTGCAATGCGTTTTCAATTTCGATGTCGTTGCGATTGCATATATTTACAAACACACGAACAATGTAAGCGAATATATTTTTCTCTGTGTACATTCATACGAGTATATATCCATATATGTATATAGTTGTACTAAGCAAAAAACGAGGCATGTTAACATTTTGTGTAGCAATCGTAGTATTTCACAGTTTTACGATTTTAAACCCAACACTGAGTTCACTCAGGCATAGATACTTTTACATTTTCTGTTATTTTCTCTGTAATGTTGGAGTCACAATGTTAATGAAGATGTTAAGTATTATGTTAATAACATGTGAATTTGTATTTAACAATTTATATAGTTTACAGTTTTTAACTTATGTTACTTTTTTTAACATCGAACATATTATGCAGACCTTACTTTTTTTTTTTTTTTTTTTTTTTTTGCAGTAGGTGGAAAACATCGAAAGCCACAGTGTGAGACATGAACCCACTAAAACCACCTCTTAGGAATGAATGAAGAAGATTTCCACAGCAATGTGGAAACTTCATTCCAGTAATCATGGGAAAGAGGAATGAGAAAATAGACTTAATACCTAGTGAACTAGATTCATCTAAGTCAGAAAGCAAGGGCATAAACTAGGTAGGATGGATGATATAGAAGGGGGAAGACCTTACAGAAATTATTTTTCTTTATTTTTCTTTAGCTAGCATTGTTTTATATTATATGCGTTTTTGGTGCTGTTAGCTGGCGCTTTTAGTTGATGCTGTTAGCTGGCGCTTTTAGTTGATGCTGTTAGCTGTCGCTTAAGTATATTAATAAACATGTTTTAATTAATTTGTGCACTATTCAAATTAGTAGGACTATATGACTAGTCCTGGATATTAATGTAGTGTGAAATTTACAAAGTATTAGTTCATTAATTGATATTGAGAGTTTCATGTCTTAAGTGTTTAATACCAAGTTTAATACCAAATACTTTAAAATAATTCTGATAAAAAACGTATACATAGCTCATTCTTTTACATTCGGGTGGATTTTAACAAACCCATTTGATATTCTTTTAAATAGTAAACACTAGTATATGAATTATGAGTTAAAGCGTTCTTTGTTCCAGCACTTTATAAACTATACTACTTTTGCTTTGACGCAGAAGAAGAGTAGTGAACGCGTACTTTTAAAATTAGTAAGTTTAAATTACAAACGATGTGATCTACTAGAAAAATGGAGTGTAGTTAATAAATTTGTTACAAAAAAGATTACAAAATTGAGAATAATAGAATATAACCCTCTGTAGATTAGATCTACTACTAGCTAAATATAGATACTGACACATGACTTGGAGTATAGTTTCCTACTCATCCACAATACCACAACCTTGACAGAAGTCATTATAATGTAGACCCAGTTTCATAGTATATCTTTCTATTAAGTAGTGACCCGTCATTACCAATACTAAAGCATTAAGCAGGTTACATCTTAGTTGAAGCAGCTGTTTGGTGTGTTTTTTGTTCAGTTTAGACGAGTTCAATCTGGAGATCTGGAGATGGAAAAGGGATTCATTTACCCAATCTCGCCAGCAAGTTGCTCAAAGTTAGGCTCTCCGAAGACTCTTCAAAGTGCCGTAGTACATCCGCACAAATGACATGCTAAGAGACCTTAGAATAGTTCCAGTCAAAAACTACATAAGGGACAAAGCCCTGGAACTTTATGTGAAAACTGTCAGGCTGCCTTACTTAGCACTATCGAATCTCAGAGTAATCACTAACCGTACGGGATGGTACGCAGATCTTAGATCAGTCATTGAATAATCACGAAACTGATGAGGTTACACAAATTAGTTAGTGAGATGGGTGGGACTCTGCAGAAACTGCACAGCTATCAAAGAGTAAAAGTGCTAGGGTGCTTTAACTCGGAAAACGCTACGTTAGACTTTTCTTCTATTTCAAAATAGTTTTTTTGTCACAGTTAACTTACAAAAAAGTCAATACAGTTTTTGTTAATATTTATTTTCCATAATTTAATTACTTCTTCTTTGTCACAGTTGAGTCAATATCGTTTGTGTTAATACAGTCAATATTCCATTACTCAAACCCGAATTTTCTATAACTCAAACTAAATAGAGTGCAACAGGGATTGGAGAGCAAATAACATTTTCTTTGCAAAATATTACCTCGAGTTATGGACGTTTGACTTTATTTATTTTTCATAATTTAATTACTTGTTATATACAAAGAAAGGAACCAAAAGCCTTCCTGGTATGTTTGAAATAATTTATTGCCTTATAAATCTAATATTAGGTTATTCGGAAAGTAATTTCGTTTTTTTTTTTTTGTGGAAATGAAAGACAGTTTTCGTATAATAAACAAATACTTTATTAAATTATATATTGACCGTTCTGGTTCAACACTTTTTGCAATCTTTCTGGTAGTAGAATAATTCCACGTTCATAAAATGTTTGGTCTTTGCTGGCAAAAAAGTGATCGAGATGGTTTTTGACCTGCTCATCTGAGGTGAAGGTTTTACCGTCTAAAAAATTTTAGAGTAACCGGAACAAATAATAATCCGATGGTGCTACATGAGTTTTCAAAGCTTATAAAAATTAAAGGGCTTAAGTGTAAAGTTGGATGCAAAAAAATACAATTACATCCTTTGTCGGGAAAAAACGAAATTACTTTCCGAACAGCCTAATATATTTCCACAATAAATTTTTTGTCAGTAAATAGTTGTATGCGTATGATAAATATTTCTTCAAATAAATCACAATGTTCTCCAAAACTTAATCAGCAATGCAAAGAAACATTAACATCGAAATATTCACGATTAATCTGGCATTTTGTGCGACTCAATAGGGTTCAACTAAAGCTTGAACTGAAATTATTCCGCTGTTACGATTTTAATTCCCCTAAAGCAACCATAAGCCGCAACTCAATTGATTCCGAAAGTTCATGTTAATCATTCCGACAGACCAACTGCATTCAACATAACCACACATTCTCGCACCTGTTCGCATACATTACCCTATATGTTCGCTCTCGGTGTACTCGTTTTCTTCGCCATGCGTTTACACTGTGCAGCAGGCATGCCGAGTAAAATGAATGCCAATACCCATGTTAACCGCAGCATTCTGTTAAACTCAATACCTGCTTCAATACCTTGCTCGGTGTGCGGGCGATGTATTTTCCAATGCGCGCTTAACGCTTCTCTGCAATTTGGCGCATGTTAGGAAAATTCCTTTCCATGCACGTACCGATTTGAGGGCACTACTGCTGATGCTGCCTGCCTACGGCGCACATTCGTCCTGTCATGTGCAATAATCAAGTCATTTTTATTCCTTTGTTAACAGACATTGTCAGCGTATGCAATTTTCCACGCTTTGTTAGGCGAGTAGTTGCTGCTGCGGTATCTTCGGTAGGGAAAACTCGAAAATCGGAAAATCGGAAAATCTTTAATCGTTGAATTATGCTGCCTTTAATTGATACTGTCTGTGCACAAGTTCGCTTACATATACATCCGAATATAATATGAACTCGAGTCTATTGTGCAGACACTTGCCACACTCACGTGCTTTTACACTACAAATATTTCAATCTTGATACTTCATACGTATATAGTATATATATGGTATATGATGGTTTATATCAAAAAAAAAGTATAGAATGCATTTTAAACGTTAAATTTTGCACATTGTTGACTATCCTTAGAAGATGGTTTGCTTAGTTGCAGATAAAATTTCATAGACATATTTGCAAGTATGAAAATTTGTATGTGTGAACTTTGCAAATATGTGAAGACCGCAGCTGTGGTCCGTTCTATTATTTGTACCATATACTACTGAATAGGTGGAATAATTACTTTGATTATCCTTCAAATTAAGCTACAATCTTGTGTGCGTTAAATTATTGCAAAAGATAAAATAATAAAGTTTTTATCGCCATCTTTTTGAATTCGAGATACGATAAAAGGATTTTAGCTAAAACAGAAATATATAAATTATTTGAAATTATTATATAGTGAGTAATCATAATTTAATAGTAATATTTTAATAAAAATATTAATAATATGCTAAGAACAGGAAGCTGATATATAACTAAATAATTCGTCCGTCAATTCTATATGGATGAGTAGCGTTTAGCAAAGCTTCAAACACTACTATTCGTCAGCTAGAAATTGCACAAAGCCAGCCTCTGAGAAGACTTTTCAAAGTACCATGGTACATTAGAACGAATGTTATCCTCAGGGACCTCAAGATTGATCCCATCAAAAAATACATGAAGAATAGAACCCTGAAATTATTTATGAAAACTGACAGACTTACCAACACCGTGTTATTGAATCACAGTATAGTTACAGGCTCCTTTGGGAGGTATGCAGATCTAACGTCAATTATTGCTTAGTCTGATGAAGTGATTAACAATAACCCAGTCAAGGCGTAAAGAGGGGTTTTGAAAATACCTCGAGTTAATAATGAGTTAAAGTGCACTGGCTCAAATAGCTCCAACATAAATAAATTATTAATATATTATATTTTTATATTTACATTTTATATTTTAATAATAATATTGCGATTATTAACATTTTATGCCCATTAACCAGAGATATTGAAATTGATTAAGTTATATAAAGAAATGTATCTTCTTGTTGTAAAATTTGCTTATGCTAATTTAATTTTATGCCTACACACGATCCGGTGCCTAAGAAAATGAGTAACCGACTTGAACAGACTAAACCTCATCCCCCTGATTCCAAGAAACTTTATCTTATCCCGGGACTACGTTTGTATTACTTCGAGGTAGGGTTCTTATTAATTACTTAAGACTGCCATCAGTGTGACCTACGTCCATGCACCGCAGCTGCTTCAAGTGACGATCCGGTGCCTAGGAAAATGAGTAACCGACTTGAACAGACTAAACCTCATCCCCCTGATTCCAAGAAACTTTATTTTATTCCGGGACTACGTTTGTATTACTTCGAGGTAGGGTTCTTATTAATTACTTAAGACTGCCATCAGTGTGTCCTGCGTCCATGCACTGCTGCTGCTTCAAGTGACTAGTCCTGTAATCCATAAGCTTGGCTTTTATCGAGATCTATTTTTTTTAAACCTTAGGAAATTGCGATAATTTTTTTTGTCACTGTTCTTGGGCAGTAACTGGATAATATTTTTATTCTTCAAAGATCCATTCGTAAGATGTAAGAAGATTAAAATAATTTACTTAATATTCTCCTGTGACAATAATATTTCATTAAAATTTGCAAATAATTTAAAGTAGAAATCAACTCTTTGTTTTCTTAAAAATTCCTTTAAGATTCTTGATGGATTAGTATAGTATATTCCAGCAACTCCCAGAAAAATAGAGTATTGCTTTGTTAGGTCACATTGGAAGCAATGAAAATGCAAACATTATTGCAAAGACTGGATCAGTTATTCAACTCTGTACACCAGAGCCATATAGTGGAATATCTTGGTCCATAACATATTCTCTTGTGAAGAGTGAATTGTAATTAAAAGAAGTCGCTATTGGCTCTACATTCAAGCTAAAAAAACTTTTTTGGTTTCATAATTTCGATTTATCCCCCTTCTTAGTAAATTGTTTGAGATTAACCGAGTTAGATTTGTGTTTGGAGCAAAATATTAAGTTGGGAGAATTTCGTCTGACGTTAGGGAATCGTTAATGAGAGGCGTTCATTCGAAGAATTGAAGGTAAGACTTGGTTGATAAAATAAAAGATCAATTATATCACAGTATCCTGTTAATTATTATACTACTTCGTTTTTACAAATGGAGTATTTAATTAATTAAATAAAACTGTTATACTACTATAATTTTCTAATTTTGTTAGCAGATTGGTATTCACCAAAATAAAGACATGACTATTTATACTTTAAACTTTCCCTACAAGTTCTCATAAGTATTTATTAATTTTAACTATTATATAATATAAATAATTTCTCATTAATTATATACATAAATAAATTAACAAATAAATTTTTTTATTTAAATTATAATTAATATAAATTTCTTTTGTAGGAGTCTCGTGGCAAGAGACCCCTTAAAATTTGGGATAGTTGGCGTAATGTGCGCAAAGGCGTAGTAGTTGGAACTTTTGAAGAATTATTAGTAAGAGGTAAGTTAATTATTATTTTTTCATTATTATTTATAAAACTAATTATAATTAAAATTTTAATCAAATTCAGGAAAAGATAAATTAGGGGTTCCTGCCTCAGAACCGGTGCGTGTTGTTCTGGAGTGCGATGGAACCCAAATAGAGGATGGCGAATATTTTCGTACATTGGCCAATAATACGGTGCTACTATTATTAAGACAGGGTGAACGTTGGTATCCAACTGGCGTTGATGTTATAAAAGCTGGTAAATTCAATTATAATACATAATTATTATGAATGGAAAATATATATGTATTGTTTCAGCTGAATAGGTTATGAACAGGTTATTTAGATTTTTCATCTCTAAACAAAACAACCATAGAATCCTAACTAGTAGTTAGTGGTGGAGTATTCCGAAAAGCAAAATATGCTACATATGAATCTTATGGGTTTCAGTTCACGCTGAAATCTCCGGTAACAAAATTTTAGACAAACTTGTCAGAAAAGGGACAGCTTCGATGCTCATAAATCCAGATCCATTTTGTGGCTTGGGAAAAGAATATTTCTTTTCACACATCCCTAAAAAAGAGCAGAAAACATGCTATAGTGTGATAATCTCTTAGGGCTATTAAAGTTAAAACTGTTTATAGGAGCTTTCAACCTACACCGATTTAAATATTGCATGCAGCTAAGTAAGCATTATTTAATCAGGTGAATTAGAAGGAGAATTAGACCTCATTTTCTAGTACATAAATGACAAAGGTACCTAGGTGGGTATCTTATATTGGATAATGAAATATTACTCTGAGGGTTTAACACTATAATTAATGTTTGATATTTAAGCCCAAGTTGGAAAAATATTTTAAGTCCATGAAGGGAGCACATAAGATTTCAAAGTTACAGTGTAATTCCACCAATATAATATATATAGTAAATAAATAAATAATAAATATAAGGAAAAGAATTTTAAACACAAAATAAATAATAAGTAAGATATATTTTTTTTTATACACAGAAAAACCATTCTCATATTCCATTTTAATCTCGTTATATATAGGTTTCATTCAAATTTTCTAGGTCCGTATTAATTTTTATTGGAAAAACTTTAATATATATGTTTTTCTTATATGATATTTCTAAAAGATCATATGAGAACATTTAATTGAAAGAATAGAATAATATATGGTTAAAAATATTGAAAATTTTTAAGGATTTTGAACTCTAATTTCTTCTGCTTCTTTACGTTACTATTCCTAATTCTGTTGCATAAGTTCGGGATATATGGTCTGTTTAAAGTACTTTTCCCAATTTTACTTTGATCTGGTTTTCTTTTTTCTTTCCCTTTTCTTTCTATGCTGTAAATTTATTATTAACTAATAAGCTTATTTTATATCAAAACAAATAATTGCTCATATCTATTCTGCTGCAACAATATATATAATATTATATTCACATATGTTATTCTATATTATATTATTTTTTATATATATTTATTGTATATCTGTTTTACACTGCCATAACAAAATTTAAATTCAATGTTATATTTTTTTTTTATTTGAAGCGATCTCAGCTATACCTAAAATCGTCTGTGAGACGATTCATGCTCTTGATTTACATGATGAGACGCCATCTTGGAAGATTATGGATAACAAGGGTCGTGTCACGGTGGTCCTGCATTGGGATCAGCGGCAGGGTGGTGGAGGAGGAGGTGGCGGTGGGGGCGGCATCGGTGGTGCCGGCGTTAGTGGGATGGGGCCAAGTGGTAGCGGTGCCAGCGGTAGTAATGGACACTTATCTTCAGATAAATACTCACCATCGAAAAAAGGTCTGTCGGCACAAAGTTCGCTGGACAACAAATCAGTATCATCACAATCTTCACAACAACGTTATGCCAGCCCACAAATAACCGTCATTAGTGATGAAGGTCCTACTAGTATATATCATCCGGGTGGTGTTGTATTGCCACCAGGTGTTGTAATACCAGGTACAAGTAGACGTTTATCAAAACAAGGCGGTTCCTTTGATAGTGCTGTAGGTGCAGTGCATGTGCATACACCAGAGTGTGCACATCATGCACATACGCCCAGTCGTGCCGGAAGTCCCAGCACAACAGAATGCGATTTTCATTGCTGTGCTTTGCATGAGGAGGGACGAAAAATAGCGGTGCATAAAAGTGTGGCTACCTCACCAATACAAGATGGTACTACGAGTCCTCAGCCACAGCAACAGGCAACGCTTTCAATGTCTTCGGTTGTGGATCCTATGATGGGTGGTAGCTTACAGCGACGCTCATCGGGTGCAAAAGGTCATGTACGCTTTTTAGATATTGCGCCAGAGAGAGATAGTTCCGAGAGTGAGACAGAAAATACTGTCATGGAAGATGACAAAACTACAACAGAAAAATTCCTTTTGCTTATTGATCAATTATCTGTTGATCAGAAGCGTCATTTAAGTATTAAAGATATCGGCATCATACTGGAACGGCTTAACTCCAAAATTTTGGATGTTGAACGTTTAGACCGAGAATCAGAGTCCGATGATTGTTATAATTGGACGATAAAAGCGACAATACGTGGTGACGCATTGCGGGAATTGGGTGTGATTTACAATGGTAATTATTATGCTATTTCCGAACATCCTGGTTACAAGGAAGAAATCGAAGAAAATGGCGAAGAAGTGGAGGAGGAAGAAGATGAAGAAGATAGAATATAAAAATGCAATTAAATTTAACGCAACGCATATGAAACATGCACAAGAGGTAAAATACATTTTAGAAAGAAGATAATGAAGTAAAATAAAAAAAAAATTGTGTAAATGATAGCAAAACAAATTAGTGAATGATAACAAAAGGTAAATTGTAGTAATAGGAAATGAAAACATAAGAAATAAAAGTAAAGCATACAACAAATAATGAATATTAACAAAAACGTAATTAAAGAAAATAAAATGGTTTTACAAGAACTGCTCACAAATATTAAATAAAGAAAACAAATTAAACTAAACCGCGCAAATTAAATGAATTTTATTATGAAAAAGTAATACAATATAAGATAAAATTAATAAAAATATTGAATATACAATATTATACACAAATTACCATACACATTGGATCACATACAAGTAAAGTGTTTATACCTACTCAGTAATGAATTAATTAATTAAAACAATTCTTAGAATAATTTAGCGCTAAATGGAATTTATTATACAAGAAAACAATCAGTAACTTAATTATTTGATTTGAAATTCCTCTAACGTTTGTGATTTTATGTTAATTGATTCTAGTTAATATAAGTTATTTAATATTTAAGACATTGACTGCGATCTTTAGTTGCAATAATCACACAATCATATAGCCAATACATAAACATATGCATTTACACACGACTGTGTTCTCACCGATAGTTAAAATTATATCTAATACTTTGTATATCTCTTATTTGTGAAAGCCTTTGCTCAATATAGCTCAATAACTGCTCACGAATCTCTTGTTTAGAGAATAGTTTCATAAATGATTAGGTAAAGTAAATTTTTAAATGTAGTATTTGTTATAGAAATTTCTAAATAATTTATATCTTATATAATTAAACTTAGCTTTTAGTTAAATACTTAGTTTTGTACTATACATCAGACATAAAAAAAGTTGTCCTAACGAACATATACGCAGACCCTCTGCATGAGATCCTCTAAACACTGTTCGTCTTTAAAATTCTCTAGTACTTAGTAAAACGTACTAATCTTTAGTACATGTTTTAAAAATACTTATAGATGTTCAATGATGGTTCATAATGGTGTAATTTTATCTCTCTTAATATAAAAATTGGTGGCAAAATACAGATCATAGTAGAACTTTCCTGTTAACGGCTAAACCAAACTAAAGAGCTTAGAATATTTGTTGTAGGGAATTGTCTACTATCGAAGGAATTGTATAGAATAGAAGCTTTTAATTCAGTATATTCCTTCTGTCACAGATCAAAATCGAACAGTTTAGAGAATATAACCAGAAGTCTTATCTAATAATAGGAAGTGAGAATATTTTACAGACATTTCCTTATTATTAAGATTGCAATGTAGGATATTACCTACATCCGCTTATATGAGCTATGGCTCCATACTCTTCTTTTCCCACAGATCAAAATCGAACAGTTCAGAGAATATAACTAGAAGTCTAATTCCCTACTAGATAGAAAGAATATTTCGCTACCTCGGACAGCCGCATATTGTTGCGATTGTAATGTAGATTAATATAACCGAAATCAGCCAACCTGCCACCAACATTAATTCTGTTGTATTTTATCCATCCTAACTACTAACTAGAGGATGGATAGAACTTTTGAAATTATAAGGCCGAACTAAGCTAGCCTTACAGTTTATGGTTTTATGAGTCGCGTCATTAAAGTGTAATCTTCATATCAAGTTCAAGTTCTACTTACTGACATTCTTTCATATTCTATATAGCTGATTAGCAAGTTTTTGGTTTTCTAAAATAATTATAAAATCTATTATATTCAATAAAATGCGTGATAACAGCCACTTGAGGGGGCTAAGACACTGCTAGCACCGCTGTGGACACAGAGTACTATACGGGATTAGGTTTCTGCTTTTTTAATAGGTTTCGCAAAGTAAACCTATTAATAGTTCTGGAATGAGTAGATTGTTTTCAAGGAAATTGAATTATATTAAAATATTATAACAACTAACTGCAGAAGCCCGTAGCTCAAACATGAGTCCATACCTTTGACATCGATCAATTACATTAAGAAAGGAGCTCTTACCTCTTGTGCCCCTCTTTTTGTTATAAAATATTACTTTGGACACACATATAGGAGCACTTTTATAAAGGTTTTATAAACTTTTATAAACTCAAAACGTGTTTGGAAAATACCGGTAATATATGCAAAAAAACGATGATTATATGTATTATTCTAAAAAATATTATTGTTTAAGATGAAAATAGAATATTTTATGGAATGGTTGTGCTTGCGGCGTTGACCGGTAGTTAAGAAGCCCTGACCTAAGTCATAACCGATTAATTTTTGTGTTAAAATAATTTTTTCTATATATCTTATAGCAGATGGAATGTATATAATCTAATATATGTACGCCCTACTTCACAGACATTTTGAGCAAATGGTTTTTTTTAATTATAATAGTTTTTAAAATATTATAAGAATGTATACGAAATACTTCTTGATTATGTTTAATTAAATTAAATTAGTAACCAAATTTTTTAACACTCATTAGTGTTTAGAAAATCATTTTAAAATCACTCAACTAATTTAAAGTTAAATAAATAATAATAGAAAAAATTTAAAAAAGCAAAAACAACAAATACGAGTAATTCTAACAAAACTGCCACTTCTAATAATAAATATATATACAATATATTGTAATGTAATTAAATCAACAATAAAAACAACAACAAACACGCATAATTATTTAATATCAGCATTAATAAATAACTCAATTAATTGTTATTAAATTTAAATAAAAAAGAAAAGAAGCTCAAAAATATTTAAAATTTTAATTTTGTAGAATTTTTATTATTTAATTTATTGGTACCAAGAAAAATGTAACACTGCCATTATAGCTTGTCTCTAAGTTGAAGGAACCTGATGAGTAAATGGGGTAAAGGGAAATAAAAAAATAAATTTATTATAATCATTGCCAATTTAATACA